CAGTCTCCCATTGAGGGTAAAACGTCCCTCTGTGCCTTCTGCAAAACTCGGGCCTCAAAGTGCAGGGGCTGATTTTCATTCTTAAGTTTTATTCGTAAAAGAGTTGTGAAAAAGAATTGTTGGTTCTGATGTACTTCACTTCAGAAAATTGTGTTTATTTAGACACTTAGGAAGGTTCATCTGGTTTTCTTTGTAGATTAAGTAAAGTTTGTTCTTCTCATACCGGATTATTGTTAGATAGTTTTAACGTGTCAAGATAATAACATGATCTAACTTTTGTCTGGTATAGAACACTAAGCTAACTTAATTTACACAATTTCGTATGTCCAACTGCTATAAAACGTGATGAAAGAACGAACGCATCTAGAGTAGTAGACTGAATTGTTTTACTTTAACTAAATACAAAGATTTAATCAACCAAGTTTAACCTTTTCATGCTTTCCTCAACCATTTTGCGGATTACTTTTTGAAGCTTGGATCTGAAATCTATGCCTTGGTTTTTGGCACTTTTACCATCAAATCGATCTCAACTATTTGGTAAAGCCCTATAAATAAGAAAAAAGAAAAAGAAAAACGTAAAAACAACATACGTTTTGTTATTAGTGCTCCTACTGCTTAGAAAATTTAAAAAAAAGAGGAAAAATTACATTGCTTTCTTCAAGGATTGATCGTTATAAGAGTTAATCAAGTTTATTTGTATAACACAAGGATATTCAACACAAATAATAACAACCATGACCCTCCATCTCGCACACAAGTCTGGGAGAACTGCGCATGAGTCCGTACACAGCTCTCATGTACGAAGCCTGGCACTCTCCCGGCTCATCATCAGTCACAAAACCCCAAAGGAGGGAGGGGGGAGCCGGGGAAGACCTCCTGGAAGAGCGGAGGGGAAGTGGTCGACCGGGAGGAAAACCAACTCTGACACTTTCTTACCAAATGTTATCCTACTAAAGGGAACCATCGCACAGGGAAAGTCAACAGCAGTTAGCTTTTCTCTGCGAATCTCTTTTAGCCTTTGTTGAAGCGTTTGAAGTGCTCTCTCGCTGGCGTGCGTGGTTTCTTTCCATAGGCTGTTTTTTTGGTGTGGTTCCGTCAGAGTTCCCATTTGGAAATCACATCTTTACTTGGGTGAGCGTATTATGCCAAGAAAAATATCGCTCATAAATTGGTGCCGGAATATGTCGTCTAATTACAGGGCTGTGTGGTGAAAATGTACCCTCAGCTCATGGCTACAATTATTAAGGTTAACAATGAGGCGGCTGGGCTGGAGATCGCAAAAGTTCAGCAACTAAAAATGAAATGTTGTTTAGCGTCATATTTTGTTTCGTGTTTCACTCATTGCAGATACATTGTAGAGTTCTTGTTTCAGTTATAAATCTTATTCATTGCTTGTCTTAATGAAGCCTCTTCCTGCTCAAAAGTTGCCAAGACTTTTACTGAACGCGGTCAAAAGATTACTCGTTGTCAATCATTTACTAGAGCAGCCATTCCCAAAGCAAAGGGACATTTTGATCCAGAGATTGCGCACCCCCTCATTAATAATTCACATATTTTTTCATGTTAACCTCAGGGCATATAATAGTGTATAAAACAGGCTCAATGAAGGTCAAACTAAGTATTGTGAGATTAAAAGACAGACCTCAAATAGAATATAATCTCTATGTTTTGGTTAATAAAGAAGCAGTTTAAAATTGTGTATACTTTAGCACAGAAATGTAAACTTGTACAGTATACATCTGCGATAAATTAAGTACAGATAAACAAGTACAGGTATCGGCTTCATGTAAAACACAAGAGTTTTTCAATTCAATTTCATTTTGTGTTTCCCCAATTCACAACAGCAGTCGTCTCGGGGAGTTTTACGAAGTTGTCAATTTTCCATCAACAGATCAGAGAATCAAACAGTTCGAACACACGAAATAATTACCACATAGGAGCCATTGGTCCATAGGGAGCGGGAAGATCCATGTCCATAAATGTCCTTGAATGTCACATCACTGTTAGCTTTGGCAAGGAACAACAAAAAATGTGGGAAAAAATTAGAATCCTCGGGGAGGCCCATATCAAAGCATATACTCTGTTGGTCTTTCATATAATGTCATGTGTTAGTAAAGCAACACATTCAAAACAAAGCACAGAAACATTAAAGCTGGAGAAAAAAACTTTGTGATAACTGGTTCTGCTTCTGTCCTTTGGCCTCTGTCACATCATTAGATCAGCTTTTTCAATGAATAAAAGAGAATTCTGGCCCCCTGACAATAATCTCTCAGGATGTAAAAGATGTTTAATAATATATAGGATAATTGTAAAAATAAAAACGTTAAAAAGAAAGAAGTTAATAAATCCATAACTATCCGTAACTTCTGGCTCGCAAAACTTTTCCTTCTATAGTTTTCACATTCATGCATGTTTGGCCTCTGACCCTTCTTTAGATCAACTTTTTCAGTGAAAAATAGAGGACCAATTCTTACTTAGCCAATCAGCGCTCGGGAAATACAAGATTTTTTTTTATAGATGTTGTGGTCTGATTTGTTGGGACGAACACAATGTATGAACGAAACAAACAAAAAGGTTATAGATGTTCCAGCTTCAAACAAAATGCCAACAGTGATACAGATACACATTAATATTAAGCGGCCATACATCAGGAATTGGTTGTACCTCTACTCATTTGTCACAGTTTGAGTCCAGATCCAAACTTACAGCTGTTCAAAGGAAATCCATGGAGTTCTGAACACTGGGTGCATGGACGTGGAGCTGAATGAATGATCTATGGCTGACCATGTCCGAGGTTAGTCTCTGTCAATTCTCCCAAATACGCCTCTTTATTCTCAACCACATAAATCCTCCGTCACTGGCATGAGGAATGGAGTGGGGTTTGTTTGACCAGATGTAACTTTATCAGACTTCTGCTCTCTCCTCTCCTCTTAAAAAAGTTTAACTCTCACACAATATTTCTGTTTGCAGTAGTCTGACCTCTTTGTGAACTGCAGCAAAGTGAAAGGCACTTCTCAGCCGCGGGGAATCGGATGGCAGTAACCATACGCCTTTCAACTGATACAAAGGTGGGGAAGGGGGAGGCCGGGTGTCTGTGTGTGTGTTGGGTGCTGCTGGGTGGGACTTGCTCGCTATAGGGTGAAAAGGAAAGTGCCGTGCTGCATCTTTTTGTGTTGGTAAAGTGGTGGTGGTTTAGAGTCTTTTGGGGTTGGCGGGGGGGGGGGGGGGGGGGGGGGTGGTATAGTGGGGCTGCAGCTGTAGAGATGGAGCCCTCTTATGGATGAGAGCTATAACTAAACACTGTTCCGTTTATTTTGATTGTCTCGGCATCTCCCGCAAATGTCAGCTGTCTGATTCAAGCAAATATTAATGTATTGACTAGAATTAAGAGTTTTTCAATAGTAACTAAAACGTTGATTAGGAATGATGTGATGATGTCATTATGACCACTTCATGCTCTCTGAATCTAAATAGAACATAATAATATTTGTACCTGTTTCCAACTTGTAAGAAAGAGCCTTGTGAGTCATTTGATGCTTGGAGCTGAGAGCTGATTGGATGAGCTCACTTATCTCAACTTTACTTTTCTGTATGAAATAATCAGGATATCTATTAAAGGAGAGAAAAGAACAATGGAAAGCGTGGATTCAAATCTTAAAATTCACTATTTCCACCTTGATAGACATGGTAAATGAAATAAAGTGTTTTTCTCCTATAGATCAAGGCGAGATCGATAATAACATAGATAAGATAAAGCATGGTATAAACATCTAAACTAACTCAGACTAACCCCCCTACCCTCAGATTTGTTTTTTTTTAATACTTCATATGACAAAAGTAATACTTTTATTCAATGTATAATTGGTTCATAGAGCAGATGTTTTAATGTAAAAAAACACCACTTCTGCATATCATTTTGATTTGATGACATTAGGTTTCAGTTCAACATGTTTTGATTAGAAAACACTATTTATATCTTCTTTTTATTCTGACAGATAACCACATGCTGCACATCCACACGCTGTTTCCATTTAGCTGGCATCACTTGAAAACATATAGATTCGTATGAAACTAAATTGAAAAATGGGATACAGAGACAGGAGTTTTGAGATATCAAATGAATCACAAATGTCTTATCAGTGAAATCACGGCCTGCACGGCTCTGATATTCCAACATCTTTAAATGATTTGGGGAATTATTACAGCACATGGCAGCCCATGGTTAACTGTAGATATAAGGATCCCGCCTGTTTAGTGAAAGAAGGATGGACAGGAAGAAAGTTTGTTACAGAAGCAACATTAATCTATTCCTCTCGGCGCGCTTTGAAGAGCAGCAGCAGCTATGACAGGCTAAATGTTTCCAGAGATGTCACATTTCCACAAAATCTAAAAAGGCTCTTGTGCGCACTCATCCTTTCATGTTTGATTGTGTGTTGGAGATCCTATGATAAACAGAGCGGGGTGGTGGTTGCAGGCTAAAGAGGGGGCTGGGAAGAGAGCTTTTTAAGATATACTTTGCCACCGGAACCAGATGCTTGTGGAAATTACCTCTTTGTCTATACATCAGAGGAGTCCAAGTCTGTGGGATTGAAGGGTATATCGGTCTGAATCAAATCTAAACTCTTGCATTGACTCATATCACTGCTGTGTTCCTATGGGTCTAGAAGGCATATCCACCCAGATTCTAGACACTGAACAGATGCTACAGAGAACCATTAGGGCGCCAGATAGAAATACATCACTGCTATCATCAGGTCACAACAACACACAACACTGGCCTGGGCAGGTACTCTGCTCCATGCTTTTTTCTATCGTTTGGCAGTGATTTATAAACTCAGGAAATGCATCCAGAAAAAAAAAAAAAACATGTAAGAAAAAGTAAAAACAAACCCAAAGAGCCATGCACCATATGAACAATGACTTATATGTAGGGCACATGTTCAAAGTAATATATGTATATGGAGTAATCCTGTTCTTCTGTGAAGCTGGTGGCAATCTTCTCATGCTCTGTGGATGGTGCGGTCACAGGTCTCCTGGTGAGTTTGGTATGAGCCACCAGGAAGGTGGAGAGGGAGGGCATTCCTGATTCCCAGCCAGGCAGATCGCTGAAGCAGCTCCTGGTGCAGAAGACAGGGGCAGTGCTGTACCTCTGCCGGCAGGACGTCCCGTGACTGGCACGTCTCGTTAGCAGCTCACGGAGGGGGACGAGAGAGGGTGAAATTGAGAAAATTAGATTGGGAAAGGGGAGTTAGTTACAGTCCTGAGGTCAGTGAGGGGTGCTTTGTTGCAGAAATATATAATCAACATGGCCAACAAAGACAGGGAACAAAGACAAAGTGGTGAAAACATCTCCGAATGTTACAAAGACTCTCCAAAGCCTCGCACCAAAGCACATGTGTGACATGTTAGTGTCATACATGTGAACATCTACAACACATGGAGCACAGGGACCTCCTGCTGGGGCCCAGAAACAGAGTCAGGGATTCAGAATCATGCTGCTCGACAAAAAGACTTCAACTATATGCACATCAAGGCCATGGGAACAACCCCAACAACTCAAACCGTAAGAAAGAGCCCTGGAAAAAATGCAAATCATACTTAATGAACTCGGTGTGTGGGACTTTGTCTCACGCCTTGAGACTCATGCAGCTAAAGTTTGGAAACATCTTCCCGGAAATATGAGACTCCTCCTGTATGGTATACACATTTACAGAAGGTTTTGTAACAAGTTTGTTTGTGGATATGTCTAACCACACTGATTCATCTTTTCTTTTTTTGTGCGGTGATAATTAAAGACACAGATTTGGCATTAGCCCTGTCTGACATTTGCTCCTATTATTTTTTCTGGCACATGATCTACTGCTTCACATGTGTCTTAAAGGAAAGGAGGAAACACACACGCAACAGTATGTGTCAGTTGTACATGCGATAAAGGAAACTTGTTATACCGTCTCTGTTTATAAGCTCAGACAAAGCAAGAGTAATACAATATGTGAATGATGGATGAAGACCATGATGGATTTCCCCAGACACGCCTGAGTCTGGGACTGTGGGAAACTGTGGCTCACCTGCAGGAAGGAGACAACACCTGCAGCCTGCACACAGAGCAGGCTCCAAACCTCTCTCCTCCTCCACATAATGTAATGGTTTGTCGTTGTCTGAAGAACAAAGCCCCATGATAGCCATAATGTACACTCAGCCGTGCTCCCTTGGCCTGTGTTCTTGGACTCGAACTGAACTGCAGAGCATCTGTGCACAGTAAACTTTCTGTTTTCTGTTTGGTCTGGCCTTAACACACTCAAACTGATTTTGAAACAAAAAAAAGTCTTCCTTTCTTCCGCGAGACTGGGAACCACATCCAAAATCTGTCCGACTCGTTGTGAAGCAAAGTGAAAAATGAAAGCACATAAAAACCTATTTCTTCTTCTCATTTGTTTCAATAAAGGCATGAATTTACAGACATGTCAATTTTATAGGAGTCCGCCCATGTGTGCCAACGCTCTCCTTTAGAAGCGAGTTGGCTAAATAAAAATGGCCAACTTAACTGTTTATGACGGACCATGGTGTACCCCGAAATCCTGCCAGCAACACGCAATTTTTATGTTGCATGTAGGATATTAAATGCAATATTGAACATCTGCTCGATTGTGATTTATAATGTTTTTGGAGAAATGAGGTAAGTGCTCATGTTACAGTGTAAACAAATGGAAGTCAAAACTACTCTTGGCACTTGCAGATTATTAAAGCTATTCGATATGAATGGAACCTCTGAGGTAATTTTGTTGATGATCTATTGATACGAACTGAGAAAAACATGAGGATTAGGGATGTTTTCTATCTTCTTAACAGACTGCATAGTTCTATCAACCAATGGAGGTGGAGGGATTGGGGATGTCATGTGAGGTAGGAGCAGTTGTACAAGGATCTCTCATACAAACAGAGGGTGGGGGGGTGTGTGGGTGGGAGCAAGTTCTTAGCCAGACACTAGGCTGAATAAATAAACCCGGAAACATTAAAAGGCCTTTTCCCCTTCACCTCTGAACTTGTGCATGAGATTGTGTAAACATACATGGAGATGCTTAGGCCTTATCCTGACAGTGGGTTGCTCCCTCGACTGAGCCATTCCGTGTTGCATGTGTGTGTGTGTGCGTGCATGTGTGTGTCTTTGTGTGTGGGGGTATGTGAGCTAGTGTCTCTGTTTGTTGTGTGCATGAGTGCAAAGGGTCAAGAATAAAATCAACACTTTCTTTTACACAAAAACACGCAAGAACACACACAAATAGGCAATGTCAACAAGGGCTTCCACATTGTAACCACCATCTTCGGCTGGCTGAAATCCCCTGACCTGAGAGAAGTCATTCAGAGGAAGAACCAGAAGGGAGAGCATGGCACCAGATGGATGAGCAGATTACTGGCCACGATCTCCCAATATCAAATGAGAACCTTATTGTTTTTTTCATTTTTAAAGCAAAATATATGTTGCTTACAAGCGCATGCATACTGAATGAATGAATAAACTAATTCCATCATTTTCTTAATAGTGCCATAAACTAACGCTGTTTACCATTATAGATATAACCACTACTTTTTACCTAGGCAAGGCAAGGCAATTTCATACACAAGGAAACTCAACGTGCTGAACAAAATAAGATAGCATTAAAATCATAAATAATCACAGTACATTAAAAAGATAGAAAAAAATATAAAATCCCTCAGTTGTATGCACAGCTAAACAGAACTATTTTTAACCTGGATTTAAACATTATCATAATAACTGATTCACTTTGTGGCTACATGCCGTCTCAGCACATTGTGGTGGTATTGTTTTTAATCTTATTTAAATGCTTCCGGTTTATATTTGTTTTTATCAAACATACTTCTGTGAACATTTTCGGGAGACGCCATTGGCACAAAGAACCATGCTAATGATTCCTCCAAGGCCTTTATAGCAACTGGGATCGAGATATCACACCTGGGATCTTTTCTACCAAATATAAGTTACTGTGATAAAGAGTAGCCTTGATTATCTTGCTGCTAAGGTTAAACTTTGTGCATTTCCGCAGAGCGATGTTGAGGTATAGTCATGGATGAAGTTTCCATAGGCTACGTGGGTGGGCATCAAGCAGAAAAGGCTCTTACACATACACACATTCGCTCAATGCACAGAGCACACAGGGCTGAAACGATGTTGCCTGTAATAAATCGGCGGTGATGCAATGCACAAACGCAACTCACCAATTTACATTTACTTTATAGTTTCATAAAATAAAATTGTGATTTGAAGCAGTTTTATAAGGTCACAGTAATAACCACGTTTAATCAGATGTCTGTAACTGCTTGAGGTTACGATTTCCTTGTCTGTCCTATGCATGTGACCCGCATTACTAGACTTGGGTTAAAGACTATCTTCTATCTAGGATTTTCTGACTCAGGAGCTTGGACCCTCAGGCAAACAGTAGGGGTCCCAGTTTCCTGTAAGAAATGCCTCAGCCCTCCACATCCTAATTAATGTGAAGGGCATGCCCAAGATCCCTATAAAATCATACAAGACTATACCAATTTCCTGGTAGCTTTCTTGCTACATGTGCTTCTTGTTCCTTTGCATAAGAGTTTCCTTCCCTGGAAACCCCATGAACATTTATGCACCCCAACCCACCTCTGTCTTTGCCCCTCTCTTCTGCTCTGCCATTACATTAGGTTCTATTTCAGGATGAATAAATACATGGAAATGAAAATAAAAATGATTTTAAACAGCCGTTTGTTTGGTTGTTATGATGACATTATTATTACTAATGCAAAAGTTTCACATTCTTTGCTTTGCACGGCTTTGCTTTGGCTCATGGGCCCATTGCGGCCCATGCTTTTTAATTGTATGGTGGCTCTATATCTTGCTAACTCAAAGTACCATTGAGATTAAAAAGTTCACAAGTGAATAGTATAGTGTCATCCAGCCAACTTCAGCTCTGCAAATAGAGGCATGTTGAACGTCGCTGTAAGGCCCCGAACCTCTTTAATCCATTTTTTTGTATGTGTTAGCATTTGTTTTTCATTACGGCACAAATATCCATCTATTTGCACTGATCTGGTATCTGGTGAGAAAGTAAACATTTAGTAAGTAAGTAAGTAAGTAAACTTTATTTATATAGCCAACTTCAGCTCTCCCAAATGAGTACAAATATAGACATGTCATACCTTATTTTACAGATCAAAATAAGCAAATTCCTGTCAAAATAGGTTTATAATCTGAGTTATCGCCTCTGGACAAGTCTGGTGACCTAAAGTGACCCTATAAGGTTTGGACACCCTAGTCTTAGTAAAACTATTTTTTTTCACTTTCACTCAAAAACTACTCACTGATAACAATGGATTATTATTATTAGGATTACAAGTAAATCCTAGTTGACATGGTCTAATTAAACATATTTTGACAGAAATCTGCAACATTTCCATTTGGAAAATGGAATCAGTTTTGTCCAAAACGTTATATTGTAAGCATTGTAAGTTTTATCGAACCAAGTTTGAGATACGATCATGCATGGCCAAACTCTGATCCATGGGCCAATTGTGGGCCTCTGTGTAATTGTATGCGGGCCTTAACAAAAGTAGTCACACATTAATTCACAAACACAACTTAATATTGTGTGTAATATACTTAGGGTTGGGATTTGTTTTGCCACTTTCTGTTCTGTTAACATTCTGTTAATATTGCTTATGCAGCTGATGAGACCGTATTTTGTCATTCAGTCAATTTCACATCCGTCATTGCTATAAATGAAGATTATAAAAGCTCAGAACAGCGTAAATTGAGTCAAAACAGTTTTACAATCCGTTTTCAGCCCCAGGTCAAGCCTAGTTAACTAATCACTAACTTAAGTGGCCCTCATACTAAAGAAAAATGTGGATACCCCCGATTTAGACAAAACAGTTTAGAGGGACGTTGTAACACCATAGTAATATCATAGTAATATGTAGTAATATCATATCATATAATAATATACATATGTTTTGTGTAAAGTGGTAAATAATAGATAGTATTTTCTTTTGTTGTGAATTGGTGCCGAGTTACGAGACACAAAAACACAGACGTTTTGGGATCACATAGAGAGCACAGGAGGTTGCATGAGCGGCTGCACACTAACACTCAGAAGTAGTAACAATGCAGGCCATCTGAGGAGTACCAGATGCCCCCACACACACGCAGTCACACACAAGCACATGGACAAGCGCTCTTTGATAACTGTGTGAATGTAACAGAACAAACGCAGTCCAGGGAGTTTTATTGCAACTTTCAACACTTATTCAAACACAGAAAGGCCAATCTTGCACTGCAAATATTGCTTTTCCCTACAAGACATTTTTTTAATTGCTCTGATTTTTTTTTTTGCCATTTAAAACAAATGACATGCCTCTAAAATACTTTTTTTTTTTTTTTTACAACCATGTGATTGTGTTTGCAGCTGGTAACTTTTGAAAAACCCCTCCCCCTGGTGGTAGCATAGGGCAGGGCAGGCCGATAGCATTTCTTTACCCTTCATACGTGTTTCACCTCCCATTATCTACTGAAGATAGTATTTCACAATATAAAACATGAAATGACGAAGTAAATTGCTTAATTGGCAACTATGCAATATCGATTAGACACAATTGTTATACTTTAAAATGAAAGCAATGTACAGCTGTCAATAAAGATGACACGCCTTTACAGGTTGGTAGAGCTATTCCCACAGAGCTACACTGTAGTTGACACCGCATGCTCTTTATGTGATGTTAGAAAGAAATTAATCAAACGTAGGAACACAAACATATTTGATCATGTAGTTTATCAATGGAAGTGTCCAGCTTCTCTTGCTGACAACGTTTTTATGGCTGCTGAAAGAGATGAATCATCCGGATCCATTGAAGTCTGTTACACAGACCAGGTCTTGGTTTAGGAATGCATGTGAGTCAGACAGACTGCTCCTCCCTCACCGCTCCTCAGAGACGCATCAAATCAAAACTACATTCATTTTCTAATTAACCTAAATATAACAACAATGAGATACTTTTGCTTTTCATTTCATTTGCCTCCTTTAAGCAACATTCATCAGGGCATCAAAACGAAGGCTTCTGTCCACTCAGTCTGAGCTGTAAACATGGTTCATTGCACCAATAGCACCCTCTTAGGCTGTTGGGGTGTCCCATGACTG